TAAGTTGTTTGCATTTAGCTAAAGTGTGATGTTTTTCCTCACATTGCAATAGCCTGTTTAAAGTGATCATATAACAACTAATCAGTACTGATACTGTATGCTAATAGATATAGGAGTGATAATAATACAGTACATGCTTTGAATGTCTTAGATATAGCTGTGCAGTATTCTTAACAGACTGGATAGCAGCAGACAATAGAAGGCTTATTACAACCAGAAGAGACATGAGACTTTTATTTTTTAGAGACTTGAGACTTGACTTGGACTCGTGACCAAAGACTTGAGACTTGATCAAGTCTCACCCCACAAAGACTTGAGACTTGACTTGGACTCGTGACCAAAGACTTGAGACTTGACTTGGACTTGCAAAAAAAGACTTGTGAACATCTCTGTCTGTTAGCATCTAGCTCTCCTGCTTACAAACGTTTAGCCATCCCTGCTTATACAAGTAGTAGTTTTAGTTGTCTGCGATCTGCCGAGGCCTACTCCCACCTGTCGAGTACGGCTGTACTGAGGTGTTTTTCCTTTTCCCCGCGAAGAGACGGAGCGACTCCACCTGTTGCTGCATGCGATCAGCGATTTACGGAGGCCTGCTCGTCGCGAAGAGACGGAGCGGCTCCACCTGTTGCTGCCTGTGATTCTGCGATCTGCGATCTACGGAGGCCTGCTCCCACCTGTAGAATACGGCTGTACTGGAGAGGTTTTTACCCCGGAGTGGATCCACGCTTCGGGCTTGGCCTGCTTCCACCGGGCGTGTGCTGCTGTACGGAGGAGGATTTTACCACCGCTGGGGCCTGCTTTCCACCTGTCCTGGTTCTGCTGTCGCAGAGGCCTGCTTTCACCCCGGGGATACCACGGAGGGACCGGAGCGCTTCCCACGCTGCTGTTTTCGCCTGTCCTTGCTGCTGTGCTGATTTTGCTCCAGGAACATCGCGGATACTGTGTGCTGGTCTGGGGAAATGGCCCATATCGGGATTCTGCTGTGCCTGTTAACTGTTTTGGACTATGAGAAGATCTCTAGTCATTCTGAGGAGTCTACTGGATTCAGGTCTGTTCTGCCACCCGCAGTGGGCATCCCCTGCAAAGGTTCGGATGTGTTGCTCAAACAATTACCGGTTGCCTTGTCACAGTCAATCTGCTCGACAAAATATGTTTATCTTTTTTATTTTCCTGCGATGATGGTTCTTCAGGACTGCTTCTTAAGCTCTAATCACACTCTCGCAGACTTTTCCGGTGTTTCTAAATTAGATGACAATGTATGTGTGTCGTTTAAGAGGAAAAGATGCCTGGTTTTGTTGTTGTTATTACTGTCAGGAAATGTACAACCTAACCCTGGTCCGCCCAGTAGTAGTAGTCAGATCGCTACTCCTGCTGATTTTAAAGCTAGGTCTGGGTTGGGTTTCATCCACTTGAATGTGCGCAGTCTGTTAGGTAAACTAGATGTTGTCCGCATCTGGGCGAGCTCGACTGACGTCATTGTTTTATCAGAAACATGGCTAAACAAATCTATTTTGGCCTCTGACATTGCTTTAAATGGTTTTAATGTGTATCGTACCGACCGGCCTATTAAAGGTGGTGGCGTTGCCATTTATGTTAAGAATAAGTTCAGTGTAACCACATTAGTTTCCAAATCGATCAGTAAGCAATTTGAATTTTTAGCCATAAATATAGAAGTGGCAAAGGGTCAACAGGTCATGGTGGTGGGCTGTTACAGACCCCCCTCAGCTGTCAAAGACTCCTTGTCTTCACTAGCAAATCTTTTATCACAACTAGACTACAAGGAAATAGTGCTACTTGGAGATTTTAACTGGGACTGGTTAACTGCAGTGTCAGAGGATTTTAAAAACCTTTGTATCTCTTTGAATGTTACTCAGATTGTGGACAGTCCTACTCGCCCTAACATTAAGTTCCCTAATAAATCCTCCCTAATTGATCTCATTTTAACTAATGTTCCCCATAAATATTCATCTGTGGGAGTATTTGCAAATGATATGAGCGATCACTGTGTTGTAGCCACAATTAGGGACACTAAGGTCCAAAAGGTTAAACCTCGTATTATCAGTAAGAGAGACAAAAAACATTTTGTGGAGCAGGGTTTTGTTCATGATCTGTTTGGGTTTGATTGGGGTAAAATCGATCTGTGTGCTGATGTAGAAACTGCATGGTCTTATTTTTATCTTGGTGTTATGGAGATCATTGATAGACATGCACCCCTGCGTACATTTAGAGTAAAGGGACGAAACAATCCTTGGTTCTCTGCTGAAATGTCCAGTCTCCTTCATGAGAGAAACAAGGCCTGGGCAAAGGCTAGGAGATCAGGCTCAGAGGTAGAGTGGCTGCGTTTCAGGCAGCTAAGAAATAGCTTCACTTCACAAATCAAAAGTGCTAAATCAAAGTACTATCTGTCAGTAACCACAAAGAATCTGAATAATCCTGGACAATTTTGGAAAGCCATTAAATCGTTATCCACCGGCGATATCCGTAATGAGCTACCTCCGTGCCTCACCACAGCATCTGGCTCTATATCGGACAGGGCTACTATGCTAAATTGCTTTAATGAGCATTTTGTGTCCTGTGGTTCTCTATTTGATTCTGTCACTAACTCTGCTTCTGTGAACACTACAGTCTGTGACTCAGAACAATGTGGTCTGGAAAACCCTTTCAGTTTTACTCCTTTTACTGTTGATGTTGTTCGTGAAGTCTTAACCAAGTTAGATCCTAAAAAGCCGGCTGGTCCGGACAACGTAGAACCTTTCTTTTTAAAGATAGCTGCAGATTGTATTGCTCCACCTCTCACTACTCTTTTTAACCTCTCCCTCAGCACTAATGCAATTACAAAAGTAAGGAAGTCAGCGTATGTCCTGCCTTTGCTGAAAGGAGGGGAGGCCCCCTTATTAAATAACTATAGGCCAATCTCTAAGTTGTCAGTTCTGGAGAAGGTTCTTGAACGCTTAGTGAGTGAACAGGTAAAGGAGTTTTTATGTAACAATGACATCCTGTCTAAACATCAGTCAGGCTTCAGAAAGCAACACAGCACCATCACTGCCACAATGAAAGTGGTGAATGATGTGGCGAGTATTTTAGATAATAAGCAGAGTTGTGCAGCTCTATTTATTGACCTTTCAAAAGCGTTTGACACCGTCGATCATCGCATCTTAAAGCAGAGGCTAGCCAGTATAGGCATATCCAGCCATGCAGTGGGTGGTTTGTGAACTACCTCTCTGAAAGGTCCCAATGTGTTCACTTTGATGGGCTGTCTTCTGAGTGGTTAAACATTGCTAATGGTGTTCCTCAAGGTTCTGTTTTAGGTCCACTTTTATTCTCCATATCAACAGTTTAGGTGAAAATGTGGATGAAGCTACTTTACATTTGTATGCGGATGATACCGTGATGTACTGTGCAGGTCCCTCCATTCAGGAGGCTGGTGTTAAATTACAGGCTGTTTTTAACATTATTCAGACTCAGCTCTCTGAACTAAAGCTTCTTTTAAATGTGGAGAAAACCAAAGTAATGCTCTTTTCTAAAGCTAAAAAGACTACAGACACTGCTTTGGATATTGTTACTATGCAAGGAATAAAACTTGAAGTGGTTACCTGTTACAAATACCTTGGTATCTGGCTTGATGATTGTCTCTCTTTTAAACTTCATGTCAATAACCTGCTTAAAAAGCTGAGGGTTAGACTAGGTTTCTTCTACAGGAACAAGTCCTGTTTCTCGCTTGAGGCCAGGAAAAGGCTCTGTGACCTTTGACCTGTGCTGGACTCTGGTGATTTGATCTATATGAATGCACCTGCTGCCCATTGCCTGATCAAGTTAGATGCTGCGTATCACAGCGCACTGAGATTTGTGACAAACTGTAAAGCATTAACCCATCACTGTACCCTGTATGCAAGGGCTGGTTTGCTTTCACTAACTGTACGGAGGCTCAGTCACTGGTACATTTTTATATACAAAGCCATGTTAGGGAAACTTCCATCTTATATCTGCTCCCTGATCTCAGGGAGAAGTGTAAGTGGCTACTGCCTGAGATCGCATGCTGTGGTTTTATTAAATGTGCCAACTGCTAGGACTGTCTTAGGGAAGACAGCTTTTAGATGCGCAGCTCCTCTGTCTTGGAACAGTCTGCAAATTAAATTGAAACTGAGCAATCTGGTGCCACTAAATGTTTTTAAAGCTCGGTTGGATGCTAGTCAATCAGAAGCTATTGGTACCTGTTTATGTGGATAATTATGTAAATGATGCTGTAAGATGTCCTTTTGTTGTTCTATTTATGTTGTTATGTTTCATGTGGAACTACTTGAGCAGGTCTCCCTTGAAAAAGAGATCAATGATCTCAATGGGATTTATCTGGATAAATAAAGGTTTGAAATTAAATGAAATGAAATCCCACTGGACCCCCCTAGAGGAGGTAAGGTCCGCCCCCCACTCTTAAAAAATAGCACTTTACCCCTGCCTATATGCCGTGAGCTGATTATCGAGCCTTCATTGTAACAGTCGCGGGTGTACTGTGTGTGTGTGTGTGTGTGTGTGTGTGTGGGGAGTGTTGCAGTAGAAAATGCCACTGTAGCGCCGCGGCCGCCGCCACTGTGGGCTAAGCCCCGAATGTTTTCAGGTCCAGGCGACGCCCCTGGGAGTGACTCCCGTGAGGTTCATGTATTTTCTTCACTCCGCAGGGAAACTGCTCTCATGTCAAGAAGCATCAGATCAGTGCATCGTCCAATCAGTGAGCGATACACAGTAAGGGGGCGGGGCGAGTGGCTGAGGATTTCATTGGAGGATGGTCTGGTAGTTCCTCGATTATAGCTCCTCCATTATCGCTCCTCGATCCTCGCTCCTCCGGCAGAAACAAGAGCCATGGGACGGTACTCAAGATGGCGCAGACAAATCAACTTCCGGTGATACCGAGACCGAGGAGCGAGGAAATGAAAATAATCGACCTGAGAAGGACCCATACACTCTACATTAAGTCAACGGAAATGGCTGTTTTGTTGTTGTCTCACCTGAGAGAAGAGGTGAGGCCGGGGACTGCTGTGGGGGGAGGAGGGGGGGGGGGGGGGGCGAGGCGGAGGTCCACGGCTGGAGGACTGCAGCAGGGTCCATCCTGAGGCGAGAACTGCGACTCTGCATGGAGAATAAAATGTTTGTTTGATTATATGCTCTATATCATGCAATCCTGTTCACCCTGTGTAGCCCCGCCCCTTTCCACACTTTCTGTTCAAGCCTCTTTTTTAAAAGTATTTTGATATTTTCTGAAAAAGTCATAATTTTGAGAATTTAGGAAGGAATATGAATTTTGAGATTTTCAGAAAAGAATCACGTTTCGAGATTTTCACTTTAGAATAACTCCCAGAACATATGAGACTGCAGACTGAAGACCATGAGGACACTTTAGAGTAACTCTCAGTGAAGAACCAGAACATATGAGACTGCAGACTGAAGACCATGAGGACACTTTAGAGTAACTCTCAGTGAAGAACCAGAACATATGAGACTGCAGACTGAAGACCACGAGGACACTTTAGAATAACTCTCAGTGAAGAACCAGAACATATGAGACTGCAGACTGAAGACCATGAGGACACTTTAGAGTAACTCTCAGTGAAGAACCAGAACATATGAGACTGCAGACTGAAGACCATGAGGACACTTTAGAATAACTCTCAGTGAAGAACCAGAACATATGAGACTGCAGACTGAAGACCATGAGGACACTTTAGAATAACTCTCAGTGAAGAACCAGAACATATGAGACTGCAGACTGAAGACCATGAGGACACTTAGAGTAACTCTCAGTGAAGAACCAGAACATATGAGACTGCAGACTGAAGACCATGAGGACACTTTAGAGTAACTCTCAGTGAAGAACCAGAACATATGAGACTGCAGACTGAAGACCACGAGGACACTTTAGAATAACTCTCAGTGAAGAACCAGAACATATGAGACTGCAGACTGAAGACCATGAGGACACTTTAGAATAACTCTCAGTGAAGAACCAGAACATATGAGACTGCAGACTAAAGACCATGAGGACACTTTAGAGTAACTCTCAGTGAAGAACCAGAACATATGAGACTGCAGACTGAAGACCACGAGGACACTTTAGAATGACTCTCAGTGAAGAACCAGAACATATGAGACTGCAGACTGAAGACCACGAGGACACTTTAGAATAACTCTCAGAGAAGAACCAGAACATATGAGACTGCAGACTGAAGACCACGAGGACACTTTAGAGTAACTCTCAGTGAAGAACCAGAACATATGAGACTGCAGACTGAAGACCACGAGGACACTTTAGAATAACTCTCAGTGAAGAACCAGAACATATGAGACTGCAGACTGAAGACCACGAGGACACTTTAGAGTAACTCTCAGTGAAGAACCAGAACATATGAGACTGCAGACTGAAGACCAGGAGGACACTTTAGAATAACTCTCAGTGAAGAACCAGAACATATGAGACTGCAGACTGAAGACCACGAGGACACTTTAGAATAACTCTCAGTGAAGAACCAGAACATATGAGACTGCAGACTGAAGACCAGGAGGACACTTTAGAATAACTCTCAGTGAAGAACCAGAACATATGAGACTGCAGACTGAAGACCAGGAGGACACTTTAGAGTAACTCTCAGTGAAGAACCAGAACATATGAGACTGCAGACTGAAGACCATGAGGACACTTTAGAATAACTCTCAGTGAAGAACCAGAACATATGAGACTGCAGACTGAAGACCACGAGGACACTTTAGAGTAACTCTCAGTGAAGAACCAGAACATATGAGACTGCAGACTGAAGACCAGGAGGACACTTTAGAATAACTCTCAGTGAAGAACCAGAACATATGAGACTGCAGACTGAAGACCAGGAGGACACTTTAGAATAACTCTCAGTGAAGAACCAGAACATATGAGACTGCAGACTGAAGACCAGGAGGACACTTTAGAATAACTCTCAGTGAAGAACCAGAACATATGAGACTGCAGACTGAAGACCAGGAGGACACTTTAGAGTAACTCTCAGTGAAGAACCAGAACATATGAGACTGCAGACTGAAGACCAGGAGGACACTTTAGAATAACTCTCAGTGAAGAACCAGAACATATGAGACTGCAGACTGAAGACCACGAGGACACTTTAGAGTAACTCTCAGTGAAGAACCAGAACATATGAGACTGCAGACTGAAGACCATGAGGACACTTTAGAATAACTCTCAGTGAAGAACCAGAACATATGAGACTGCAGACTGAAGACCATGAGGACACTTTAGAATAACTCTCAGTGAAGAACCAGAACATATGAGACTGCAGACTGAAGACCATGAGGACACTTTAGAATAACTCTCAGTGAAGAACCAGAACATATGAGACTGCAGACTGAAGACCAGGAGGACACTTTAGAGTAACTCTCAGTGAAGAACCAGAACATATGAGACTGCAGACTGAAGACCAGGAGGACACTTTAGAATAACTCTCAGTGAAGAAATACACAGTCCAAAACTTCTCAATAGAAATAAAATAGCATTAAAAAAAAGAATTGAAAATATACATTATATACAAAATATAAAGCATAATATTATATATGCATAAGTATGGTGGGAATGGAATATTAAATACAACAAATACAAAGGTGTACCTGGGGAGGAGGGTGGCGAGGGGAAGCAGATCGGCCTGCAGATGGCGGAGGGATACGTTCTCTTTCCTAGCGTGATGCGTCCGTCTGTCCGCCCCGAGGGCAGCTTCAGGTCCAGAGGCTCGTCCAGAGACAGCATGTCTGCGCCTGAGAGAGGAAGAAACACCACAACTCCTTTTATATCTTCAATGTTTTTAGAAATAATGTCAGGTGTAATGTCTACTGAAATCTATTGGACTGTTTATTTCTGTGTCTTAGTTTCTCTTATGAACACCATGTGTTTTTATGCTATCTATCCATCTATCCATCTATCCATCTATCCATCTATCCATCTATCCATCTATCTACTGAAGGGTCATCTGGATCTGAAGTCATCAAAGAAACAAGCGGAGCTAACGTTAGCAGTTACTCTTTAAAGTAGAGACACTACATACTGATATACACCTGACCATCAGCAGGAGAGTACTCTTTAAAGTAGAGATACTACATACTGATATACACCTGAACATCAGCCGGAGAGGACTCTTTAAAGTAGAGACACTTCATACTGATATACACCTGAACATCAGCAGGAGAGTACTCTTTAAAGTAGAGATACTACATACTGATATACACCTGAACATCAGCAGGAGAGTACTCTTTAAAGTAGAGACACTACATACTGATATACACCTGAACATCAGCAGGAGAGGACTCTTTAAAGTAGAGACACTACATACTGATATACACCTGAACATCAGCAGGAGAGGACTCTTTAAAGTAGAGACACTACATACTGATATACACCTGACCATCAGCAGGAGAGGACTCTTTAAAGTAGAGACACTACATACTGATATACACCTGAACATCAGCAGGAGAGGACTCTTTAAAGTAGAGACACTACATACTGATATACACCTGACCATCAGCAGGAGAGGACTCTTTAAAGTAGAGACACTACATACTGATATACACCTGAACATCAGCCGGAGAGGACTCTTTAAAGTAGAGACACTTCATACTGATATACACCTGAACATCAGCAGGAGAGTACTCTTTAAAGTAGAGATACTACATACTGATATACACCTGAATATCAGCAGGAGAGAACTCTTTAAAGTAGAGACACTACATACTGATATACACCTGAACATCAGCAGGAGAGGACTCTTTAAAGTAGAGACACTACATACTGATATACACCTGAACATCAGCAGGAGAGGACTCTTTAAAGTAGAGACACTACATACTGATATACACCTGAACATCAGCAGGAGAGGACTCTTTAAAGTAGAGACACTTCATACTGATATACACCTGAACATCAGCAGGAGAGTACTCTTTAAAGTAGAGATACTACATACTGATATACACCTGAATATCAGCAGGAGAGAACTCTTTAAAGTAGAGACACTACATACTGATATACACCTGAACATCAGCAGGAGAGGACTCTTTAAAGTAGAGACACTACATACTGATATACACCTGACCATCAGCAGGAGAGGACTCTTTAAAGTAGAGACACTACATACTGATATACACCTGAACATCAGCAGGAGAGGACTCTTTAAAGTAGAGACACTACATACTGATATACACCTGAACATCAGCAGGAGAGGACTCTTTAAAGTAGAGACACTACATACTGATATACACCTGAACATCAGCAGGAGAGGACTCTTTAAAGTAGAGACACTACATACTGATATACACCTGAACATCAGCAGGAGAGGACTCTTTAAAGTAGAGACACTACATACTGATATACACCTGAACATCAGCAGGAGAGGACTCTTTAAAGTAGAGACACTACATGCTGATATACACCTGAACATCAGCAGGAGAGGACTCTTTAAAGTAGAGACACTAGATACTGATATACACCTGAACATCAGCAGGAGAGGACTCTTTAAAGTAGAGACACTACATACTGATATACACCTGAACATCAGCAGGAGAGGACTCTTTAAAGCAGAGACACTACATACTGATATACACCTGAACATCAGCAGGAGAGGACTCTTTAAAGTAGAGACACTACATACTGATATACACCTGAACATCAGCAGGAGAGGACTCTTTAAAGTAGAGACACTACATACTGATATACACCTGAACATCAGCAGGAGAGGACTCTTTAAAGTAGAGACACTACATACTGATATACACCTGAACATCAGCAGGAGAGGACTCTTTAAAGCAGAGACACTACATACTGATATACACCTGAACATCAGCAGGAGAGGACTCTTTAAAGTAGAGACACTACATACTGATATACACCTGAACATCAGCAGGAGAGGACTCTTTAAAGTAGAGACACTACATACTGATATACACCTGAACATCAGCCGGAGAGGACTCTTTAAAGTAGAGACACTACATACTGATATACACCTGAACATCAGCAGGAGAGGACTCTTTAAAGTAGAGACACTACATACTGATATACACCTGAACATCAGCAGGAGAGGACTCTTTAAAGTAGAGACACTACATACTGATATACACCTGAACATCAGCAGGAGAGGACTCTTTAAGTAGAGACACTACATACTGATATACACCTGAACATCAGCAGGAGAGGACTCTTTAAAGTAGAGACACTACATACTGATATACACCTGAACATCAGCAGGAGAGGACTCTTTAAAGTAGAGACACTACATACTGATATACACCTGAACATCAGCAGGAGAGGACTCTTTAAAGCAGAGACACTACATACTGATATACACCTGAACATCAGCAGGAGAGGACTCTTTAAAGTAGAGACACTACATACTGATATACACCTGAACATCAGCAGGAGAGGACTCTTTAAGTAGAGACACTACATACTGATATACACCTGAACATCAGCAGGAGAGGACTCTTTAAAGTAGAGACACTACATACTGAATACACCTGAACATCAGCAGGAGAGGACTCTTTAAAGTAGAGACACTACATACTGTATACACCTGAACAGCAGGAGAGGACTCTTTAAAGTAGAGACATACATACTGATATACACCTGAACATCAGCAGGAGAGGACTCTTTAAAGCAGAGACACTACATACTGATATACACCTGAACATCAGCAGGAGAGGACTCTTTAAAGTAGAGACACTACATACTGATATACCCTGAACATCAGCAGGAGAGGACTCTTTAAAGTAGAGACACTACATACTGATATACACCTGAACATCAGCAGGAGAGACTCTTTAAAGTAGAGACACTACATACTGAATTACAACCTGAACATCAGCAGAGAGGACTCTTTAAAGCAGAGACACTACATACTGATATACACACCTGAACATCAGCAGGAGAGGACTCTTTAAAGTAGAGACACTACATACTGATATACACCTGAACATCAGCAGGAGAGGACTCTTTAAAGTAGAGACACTACATACTGATATACACCTGAACATCAGCCGGAGAGGACTCTTTAAAGTAGAGACACTTCATACTGATATACACCTGAACATCAGCAGGAGAGGACTCTTTAAAGTAGAGACACTACATACTGATATACACCTGAACATCAGCAGGAGAGGACTCTTTAAAGTAGAGACACTACATACTGATATACACCTGAACATCAGCAGGAGAGGACTCTTTAAAGTAGAGACACTACATACTGATATACACCTGAACATCAGCAGGAGAGGACTCTTTAAAGCAGAGACACTACATACTGATATACACCTGAACATCAGCAGGAGATGACTCTTTAAAGTAGAGACATATACTGATATACACCTGAACATCAGCAGGAGAGGACTCTTTAAAGTAGAGACACTACATACTGATATACACCTGAACATCAGCAGGAGAGGTCTCTTTAAAGTAGAGACACTACATACTGATGTACACCTGAACATCAGCAGGAGAGGACTCTTTAAAGTAGAGACACTACATACTGATATACACCTGAACATCAGCAGGAGAGGACTCTTTAAAGTAGAGACACTACATACTGATGTACACCTGAACATCAGCAGGAGAGGACTCTTTAAAGTAGAGACAATACATACTGATATACACCTGAACATCAGCAGGAGAGGACTCTTTAAAGTAGAGACACTACATACTGATATACACCTGAACATCAGCAGGAGAGGACTCTTTAAAGTAGAGACACTACATACTGATGTACACCTGAACATCAGCAGGAGAGGACTCTTTAAAGTAGAGACACTACATACTGATATACACCTGAACATCAGCAGGAGAGGACTCTTTAAAGTAGAGACACTACATACTGATGTACACCTGAACATCAGCAGGAGAGGACTCTTTAAAGTAGAGACAATACATACTGATATACACCTGAACATCAGCAGGAGAGGACTCTTTAAAGTAGAGACACTACATACTGATATACACCTGAACATCAGCAGGAGAGGACTCTTTAAAGCAGAGACACTACATACTGATATACACCTGAACATCAGCAGGAGAGGACTCTTTAAAGTAGAGACAATACATACTGATGTACACCTGAACATCAGCAGGAGAGGACTCTTTAAAGATAAGGATCCGAATACTTTTTCACTTCACATATACAGGCTGTGATTTGGAGGTATTGTGTGTTATACAGGACCATATGTCCCCCCCCCTCTGTCTTTCCACTCATTGACCCGTTTGGGCGAGCTGCCCGGACCCTCGTATGGATCCCCTGTTGCCAAGCTAAACACACACATTTAACTTTTCACACACACACACACACACACACGGTCTTCTGCACGCATGCATATTCTAAACACATGTAGAGAGCAGACACACACACCTTGTTATACGAGTGAGACCTTGATTGTATTCCCAACAGTCTGCAGAATGACACATTTAGTGCAGATGGTTTCTGGTGTTTTTCATCGTCCTCGTGTCACGCTATTAACAATCAGTTACATATTACATTTCATAACATTTAGCGACCAAAGTCACTTACAAAAAGTCAAATTAACCATCAATATACAAACTCAGATTATTATTATTATTACTATCAATATTATTATTGTTATCAATATCCATCCATCCATCCATCTTCTCCCGCTTATCCGTGGTCGGGTCGCGGGGGTAGCAGTTCCAGCAGAGAGCCCCAAACGTTCCTTTCCCTGGCGACATCAACCAGCTCTGACTGGGGGATCCCAAGGTGCTCCCAGGCCAG